TATATATATATATATATATATATATATATATATATATATATATATATATATATATTAAAATATTAATTGTTAAATTATTGTTTGTATCAAAGAAAGCAAAATGTTATACATAAAATGTACATACATATAAGCACCCTTCAGTATGAGAATATTTTATTGTATAAATTATATAAATTTTTACGATATTTTATAACAATATATTGTATACATATATATTATTGTATATTGTACATATGTAAATTGATGTATATAAGTATATGAATTGTGAATGTACAAACTTCGTGTTCCTCAAAAAGGTTCGATTCAATTTATGAGTGAAATTTCTTATTATATACATTTGTTAGAAAAGATTCCGTATCGTTCAAAAACCGAATAAAAAATAAGCTTAAGTACTATATGTACACTATATATACTATATATATTATATGTATACAATATATATATACATATAGATATATTGTCAGTAATATTACAGCGATATTGCAATATTACTATATCATTGCAATATTGCATTACTGTGAGAAACTTTATACATATTATTTATTAAATAACAGCCACACCCTTATAGAAATATCATATTAAGAATCATTGATAATTACTTATTTTCAGTATTAAAAATACTGGATAATAAGTAATTATCAATGATTCTTAGTATGATATTTCTATAAGGGTATATGAATAAAATAATAATATAATGTAGAACATAAATAACATATTGTATTAATGAAGAAATTAATACGAAACATATATTTTATTCATGACCAAAATTACTAGTTTATTACGATCGCTTTGTGATTTAAACCGCCTGTTTATAAATTTTATAGTATAATACAGTCGTGCTCTAGCAAACAGTTTTATGACATACTCCTGTAGAAAATGTGGACATGGATGTATAAATTTGACTTGTTGGAAAAGTTGAACATATTTTGTAAAAATACACGGCTGCAAAATATATTCTTTAATGTTTATAAAAAATAAGTTGTCCAAAGTCTTAATATATTCAACAAAATTTTTATTTGGCATGCATAATTACCGAAAAAATTATTATTTGTAGTATTATACACTCTAAAGAAACAATTCAGCAAACAAGATGACGTCAAATGACGTCTTAATGATGTATTATTGACGTCTAATGTTAATAATACGTCATTAAGACATCATTTGACGTCATCTTATTTGCTAGGAATAATATGATTTATCATCCAAATCAACTCTTTGCTATAATTTAAATATAAGTAACATAAATGTTTTTGTAAACATTTACGAATAAGATAACCATATATGTATCGAAACGCGTCTTGTTCGTTAATATCCATTTCGCGATAATCATGATTATCTACATGTACAAGTACTAAATCACTTTCGTCTACTTCATTTTTACCAGTCCCATACAGCACAGCAGCGTTGCAGCAACATTGCAGCATCATTATTTTGCAATATTGTGACATTGCAACAACGTTGCAAAATGTTGCTGCAATGCTCCTACAACATTGCAGCAACGGTAAAATGTCCGCTTGCGGCAATATAACAACGCAACTGTATAGCAACATTGCAATGCAATATGTATGTAATATTATTAATATGTTTTATTATACAAAATAAAATCCCAGATAAC